CTCCCGCCCCGGTTTCTCCGTACACATTAATGGACCGCAACTGCTACCTCGCTTGCCAGAAAAATGCCGGAACATACGTGGCGTATTTCCCGAACAATACTTGCGCCTGCTTCTATCGCAACACAGAGCAATGGAAAATGGAATCCGCTGCACAGTTTCTGCAAAATTCAAAGATTGGAGATTTGCTGAAATTGGATCCGACGAGCAACTACTACCTCGATACCAAGACTTTTGGGGTATGCCGGGGGAGTTTGCCGAAACTTAAAAAACTATTGTTAATAGAGATTTGATTTTTTCACTGTTCCTCTCTTTTTCAGCCGCTCCAGAATGCAAAGTTAGTGGAGCAAAACTTCGTCCTTCTCGACATCGCCCAACCCTACGTCAACACATCAGGCTGGGGTCAATGGACGGACCTGGCAAAATGTACAGGGCGATTGCTATGTGGCATGTGTGGGACAAAACCGCAGCAGCGGACCTGTTTGACCGGGAACTGCACGTAAGTCGCATCTACGTAATACAACAACGTTTCGTTTTCCAAATGAGGCATAACAAGAATTTCAAAACGATTCTATGAAAACTGCCGATCTTTGCAAAATCTGCATTTTAATTTTCGAACTCAAGCTAAAAGTATGACGCTGATCCAATCTAATCTTTACGGCAGTTTTCAGCAATTCTACCTGGGAAACTAAAGTCAAATTGGCTCGAATGCAACCTGGAAAACCCGGAAAATTTTACAACATGGCTTGTTAATGGGCGCATTTAAGTAAAATACGGCTCTGAAGGTTGTTGCAACTTCGCCATTTCAATGGCTTTTGAATGTCATAACCTCCGGTCCTTACAATTAGCGTGACATCTCCGCCCAGTTGGGGGGATGTTTTTATTGCGACACCATGTACTAGTGAGCATTTTGCATTATTACGCAGGGCCAAAATTTTATTGTTTTGCGATTTCAGAGGCTCGACAACGCGCACAGTGCATTGTTTGGATAAGATCTGTACGTTTCCGGATGAAACGTGTTGCCCTGGTTTTCAGAAAGCTTATAATCTTCAAAAAGGATACAGATGCCAGCGATCGGCTATTATAATTCCAACGTGAAGTCGTACTTTTACGGCATGGCTTGGGCTAACATTCTCACGCTGGCCTGTATCATTTAAAAAACAGAGCCCGTGTAATCAAGTTTTCTATGCGGCTTCTGCCACACTAATTGTTTCACATCTCACTTGCCGTTGGGATCATGTTTTTTTTTCATAGCGGATTTACGCGATTGTTGCTTTTGATTGAATAAAGATTAAGCAATTTTGTATTACACAACAACAACAACAAATATGGCATGGCATTCATAGTTTCTAGCAACTAAATTCTCGCAAAACTGGCCTTGCATTCCTCGAAAAACCTACCTCAGGAGGAGCATTCCGTATGAATTCCGGCAAGCGGCAAAAGCACCCCTGTCAACTCCATTTGTCAATTGTTGAAAGTCGCCAGGCAGCGAGTTCCGGTTGGCTGAGTGAGGAATAGGCGCGAGGTTCCAGATCTGTTTCTGAAATAATCCCTGGCTGGCGCAATGCTTCTTCTATTATTGATCATACTCAAAGCCACATCCCCGCAATCGGTCCCCATTTCCCCGGACACGCTGATAACCACGGACTGCTACTCAAATTGCTCCAAAAATAATGGCAAATACGTGGCTTACTTTGCTAATAATACTTGCGGTTGTTTGATACATTACAGTACAAGCCTCAGCAACCCGCCCGCATCCCCATTACTGCAAAACTCGACAATAGGTGAGCAGCTACGACTCGATCCGACGAGCAACTATTATCTGGATGTGCAGGCTTTCGGGGTATACTCTCAAGCGATCGCCAAATGTTTAAAATTTATCAGTCGCTAAAGGTAGCAAATTTGGTAAAGCAAACGATGATCTTCCTGGACATTGCGCAGCCCTACGACAATTCGAGCGGTTGGGGCCCGTGGACCGACATCACGACGTGCGATGCGGTCCCATTTTGCGGTATGCACGGGACAAAGCAGCAGCAGCGGACATGCTGGGCTCAGAGCTGCACGTAAGTCCGGAAGGAAGCCCGTTGCACGCATCTTTCACCCCTTAACAAAGTCGCTGCAAAGTCTTTAGGTTCTTTCGCATTATCGGGGGACCAACTTTTTTCGTAGAATCTAATTTTTTATATATAGTAGGATATTGGGAAGTGTTTCTAAATAATTTTTTGCCATTCCGAAACGTGAAAACTATACCAAATTGTAGTAAAAATGACAAAAATATCGATTTTTCCACCAAAAGGATCGATTTATCGCCCATGTGGCAAATTTTTCAAAACTTTTTGGATAGTTTTGCCAGTTAAATGATTGTCATTTTTTACCGAAATCGCTAATAAAACACCTGCTATTAAGTCGCTAGACATTTCTGGCCTTATACAGAAATCCCCCCCGATAATGCGTAAGAACAAGCTTTTAGAGGATCCGCCACACGCACGTTGGTATGCCCGGAACAGATCTGCTCGTTTCCATTGTGGGATTGTCGTGATGGCTTTGGGAAATACCTTAACTCCGCGAAAAGAAATTACACGTGTCAGAGGATGGCCACCCTTATTCCAGCCTGAGAGTGAATTTTCTAGCCCGTCAAATAAAGTTATACCACCTAACAATCAAGACCACAAATTTCCCGCATGTCCGCTATGGCGTTGATGGATTTAATACGAGATACAACTCCTAGTTTTGTATGCACTTTTATAATGTCTTTTCTCTCCCCGAAAAGCTTGCTCGCTGATCACAACCGCCCATGGGTTCGGTCCAGATGGTTCAAGGGAAAGGGCGTACTGTGCGTGTTTTTCGCGCGTTGCGTGCGCGTGCGCGGAATAGCAACCGGTTTTTAGCTGAGCAGGCCTGTGCAATTGCGCGACGCGTTCGCGGTTGCGGTCTTCCCTCCTTCCCAAAGCTACCGGACGTTTTATTAGGAGCCGGGCCGCTGTGTGATAACAATGTGAATTTGATAGCATAAGCTTTTGGGTTCAAATGCGTGCAGAAAGGCGCCCTCTCCATGCGCCCAATGTCTCACCAGAATTTGAACGCGTAAGCTTTTCTCCGGAATGCACGGCATCAGCTTTTTATATAGTTTTTTACGCCTATTAAATTATATTTGTCATAATTTGACGAATTGTTAACGAACCGAATTTTTTAGTTATTATTTTGTTGATGGGACAAGGACTATGTGCAATGGTATTCCTGAAAACGCAAAGATGAAGTGTTTTTCAAAACTTGAAAGCAGCAATTCCCCGAAAATAAAATGCTTTAATCTATAAATTTCCACAAATATACACAAATAAATCAATCCAAACAAAACAAGTTAGTTGCACTCTACATTAATATAGAGTGGAAGTGGAAACTTTACTTTACGACAGCGAGAGTTACTGGGACCGCAGTGCTTTATTTATGAAAAATCGTTGAATTTATCGAACTAAAAATTTCAGAAATGGAATGGTTGCTTTGAAAACCTTTTTCAATTCCCATTTTCGCACTTTTTCCATAGCCATTAATGCTCGAAATCGACCCCTGAATTCCTTTGATAGCGTAAGCGAATATCGATTTTCATCCTCAATTTCGCCGCTTTTTCTCGGTTTTATCAAGTTTTCCTGCGTTTCTCGAGTTTTTATCAAAAACGCTATATCGCAATAAAGTTAACATCAAGATTCAGGATTTCTGCAGAAAATGCGGGCCTTCCAATCCTACCACACGAACCGGGAGGTCAACCAGCTTGGACTGCAATTTTTTCGGCTGTACCAGGATGAGATATTGGACGTGTTGCTGAGTGATCGACAAGAATTACTGGCTCATGTCTGGGCGTTTAATGAAATATTTGGTATCATGAAGTGGTTACGACAGGTAAATCGGCGAATTCAGGAGAACAGACCCAAGAATTAGCGGATCGACTAATGGATGCTGACGAGAGGGAATGCTATCTCGTCGGTTTGACGCAAAATTTATAACATCTTAGCCATTTTATTTAAGATTGAATTTTAAAGCGACTTAAGAGGGTGGTAAAAATTTTAATAAGCCCTTTTAGATCGTCTCCCAGATGCTCCACCATCTTCTCATGACCGAGAAGGGCACTTTGGCGGTTGACGCATGGGTTCAGACAGGTATTTTTATAGCAAATTAAACCTAAAAACCGAAATTCTATATTTAATAAACAGAATTATATAAGACTCGAAAATATTAGCAAATATTTAGTCCGCTCAAGCCTGCACGCAGTAGCCCACGGCAAGGGGATTGACATCATGGAGCCGAGGGTGCGGACTTTCGTCAAGGTGGGCTGCGTTTTAGGCGTTTTAAGACTATTCTATTAAAGTTTAATTCGGTAATTTGATTTGAAATATAGTGTATTACATCTTAACAAAACAAAAATCAAGCGTCAGGCAAAATAACATGGCATTTTCAGTTTTTCATGAGGGACGACGACCCGAAATTCCTTCAAAAAATTGTTGCCAGTCTGCATGTGGACGCCATTATCGAACAGGTAATTTATTCGTTGAAAATTATCCGATTTTGATTTAGTTAAAAGCCAAAAAACGGTCCTACCAGTTCTTCCTGGACGAGTATGAAAAGGCGTACCGTATCCGCCGGCTCGACATGATACGAGGCCAGGAGAAGCAGCTGGACAGCAGATTTTATTCGAAAGGTAGGCAAGTCTTGTGTTACCGATACCTTTAAATAACCTTAGCCTTGCCATAATTATGCAAAAAGCGTTTTTGCGTTTTTAAAACTACAGTAACCTTCAGAACTCGATCACCGTTTCTTTGCTCGTCTCTTCATCCGCTGCTTACCGAAATGTAACCTCGATGAGGGCGCGGAAGAGGATTGGGTTTACGATCTTGTAGCGTAAGTTTGAAGCTACTTAGTAGGCAGGCTAGCAGAAAGCTTTGAGGAATCCACCTAAGCCTACAAACCGTGTTTTTTTTAGTTTGCTGCGTCGTGACGCTCGGAATCGAGCCATGCTTCGAATTTTTATGCCTGATTATGCTCTTCAACTAGGTGAAGCTGGATGCTAGATTTTGTATCTAAATTTTTTTTAGAAGTCCGGCGACAGCGTGAAATACAAGCTACGCATCAGGATTTTTCGATCGAGTTGGAGGAGGAGGGCCAGGAGGTGACGGAATGCACACCGCAGTCGGAGGCTAACTCCGAGATGTACGATCAATGTGGGTTTTTGTTATCTCACGCTTTCTCTCTCTCTCTCTCTCCCTCTCTCTCTCTCTCTCTCCCTCTCTCTCTCTCCTTCATGGATACCCTTCAGGGCTCATGCTAAGCGACTTACCGCAGGAAGAAATCGAATGGAACCTGCGCACCTATCAGAGTGAGCTGGCGATGGCGGCCTGCCAAGGGTAAGACCTGCAAATAAGCTTTTCTACTGTTTTCCAGCAAAAATACAGTAATCGTGGCCCCGACCGGCTCAGGAAAAACTCGAGTCGCCGCCTACGTTGCTGATCAACATTTCCGGAGGAGAAAAGTTGATGGGAAGCCGAGTAGGGTAGGTATAGAAAGATAGAAAGAGAGAGAGAGAGAGAGAGAGAGAAGAGAGAGAAGGTTGAGAGAGCGAGAGTTGAGAGAGAGAGAGCAACTATCTTGATTTAGGTAGTATTCGTCGTTCCCAGCGTCCCATTGGTCGAGCAACAGCAACGCGCGTTTCAGGATCTCTTCGAAGGGGTGAGCTAATTGGCAGATTTAATTTATTAAAAAAATTGGAGGTTAAGATTACAAGCCAAGCCTAAAATTAGTTCAGCAGCTACAAACGCGGCGGATTCCAGAAGGATTTTTGCAAGCTTTCTGTTTAGCGTCTGATCGTCATCGGCCTACATGGTGCATCGGCTATCGGAGACCAGGACGACCGTAAAAAGCTTCTCCTCGGAGCCCACATCACTGTCATCACCCCTCAGTTGCTAGTGTAAGCAAAAAATCTCCAAAAGCATCGACGCCTCGTTTTAGCAACATGCTACAATCCGTGCGCCGCTCGGAGCGCATCTACATTTGCGACTTGACGATGATCATCCTAGACGAGTGTCACTATACGACAAAAGAGAGCGCATATAATGTGTTGATGGATATGGTCCAAGAGTATAAGCATGCAAAACCGCAGGTATGTATTGGATCAGATACTTGCAAGTGCCTTTAAAAGGTTAGGAGGGTCTAAAGTCGACCCCAAACAATGACTAGGCCTCGAGAGTTACGAGTCGCAGCGTTATTGCGCTTTCCTGTCCCTTTAAAGTTTCTATCCCATTTTTTCTAGATTGTTGGAATGTCCGCCTCCCTGGGCACGGGCGACCAGCCACACAACGTCGAGCAAGTCTGCCAATACATCTATACACTATGCGGGGCGATGGGCTGCCAGCAGTTGAGCACCGTGCAGAGGTACAAGGACGAGCTGAACAAGTTCGTGCCGATGCCGGAGGATGGTCAGTAAAAATTCCATTACATGACTTTCGAAAAGTTTAGAAGTGAAGCACTGCACGAGGGTACGAGGGCCGCATACTTTTTAGTAAGTCTTAAGCCCGAAGTTAAAGTCAGCAGCACTCACTCTCTCCGCCTCTCTGTCCCTCGCTCTTTCCCGCTCTCTCTCTCTCTCTCTCTCTCTCTCTCTCCCCTCTGAAAAGCCCTTTTCAGCCACACCCTCTGGGTCCAAACGGAAAACTACCAATGGAAGGTTCAATGTATACTGAAGGAGCTCACCAAAAGCCCAGGAGCCGTCTTCAGCGAGGTGAGCAGCACCAGTATCTTTTTTCGAAAAGGAGTTTCAGCACGAAATCGCGCTCGATCATGCCTTCAAATGCGTGTCTCGCTACGTCGGCGTACTCGCGAACCTGTTGGACAAGACGACAAAGTGGGGCTAGACTGAGTTTTAGAACTTGTATTTTTTCAGGCAGAGCAATTTGCCCACGCAGCTGCGAATGGATTTGATCGCCGGATTGGAGGTGTTGAGGGTAAGTAGGGGTTACCGTTAGCTCGTTCGTTAACGTTAGCTCTCTCTCTCTCTCACTCTCTCCAAACATCGTTGATTTCAGATTTGTGCCAACACTTTTCTCCTCGACGAGGTTATGCCTTCCTTTTACGCATGCGAATATCTAGTAAAGGTATATATTAGTACAGCAAATATATAGAATCACGGTCAAATTTAGAAGATATCGCAAAATAGTACTAAACTACAAATTTAGGCGTTCAAAGCACACGCCGGCGCCCACCAATACTACAGCAGTTTTTGGGAGAATGGTAGGTAGTGGACCTCCCGAAGGTAGTCTAGTAGGTAGTGTATATGGTAGTAGACTTTCATCACTTCATTTTTTCAAGCTCATAGAAAGACGAAAAATTAGGGGAAGGAAAAGAATACGAGATAATTTTACCAATGTATGCCTAAAATTTAGGTTCCACACTGTACTTTGTTTTTCAGACTTCCAGGGACAACTCATCGAAGCGATCCGCAAGGAAAAAGTGGGAGAAAAACAGATCCTCAGCGAGCTCGAGTCGCGAATCCGGCATCAACTGGAATCAAAGCCGGATAGCCGGATTATAATTTTTGTGAACGAGCGATCATCTGCTCACTTGCTGTCCACTGCCATTAATAAGCATCCATTCTTCGACGGACTGCGTCAAGGAGTTCGAGGGGATATTGCTGGATATGCGACCGGTATAAAAAGCTTCACACGTATTAAGGCATCTTAGGTACCAGCGCGAAAAATAAGGGAGCTACAAATGCACAAACTGTCCAGGAGCAGTCGAGGATGCTTTATCGATTTAAGGAAGGGGAACTGAAAGTCAGTAACTTAAGAGTACAAGTTTCTCTATCTCTCTCGCTCTTTATCTCTCTCTCTCTCTCTCTCTCTCTCTCTCTCTCTCTCTTTCTCTCTCTCTCTCTCTATTTCTCTCTCTTTCTCCCCCAGGTTACGTCCCTTTCCAGATCCTCGTCGCCACCAATGTCCTCCAAGAAGGTGTTGATGTCCAAACCTGCAACCTCATCATCAAGTACAACGTTACCGGCAACGTCATCAGCGAGGTTCAGAAGCGAGGTAGATAAGCAACTCGGGCCCAGAAATAATCCATCAGGTCGTGCTCGCGCCGTTGGCTCCAAGTCCGTGCTCCTCGCCGTCACCGAGTCGGTAGAGCAACGGGAGATGGAGAACAAGCTCGGTGAAATGTTCATGGACCGGGCGGCGAAGATCATCTCCAGGTTGAACGAGACCGAGTTCACCGCCAGGGTCAGTTCGAAGAGAGAAAAATAAAGCGCGAGAGAGGGAGAGCGAGAAAGAGCGAGCAAGGCGAGATAGAGCGCGCATGAGAGAGGGAGTGCGAGAGAGTGACGGAGAGAGATAGGGATAGAGAGAGAGAACGATTCTAGCCCATTTTAGTGCGAGCAAGCCCGCCAGGAGCGGATTCAGCGCAAAGCACAGGAGCTGATGGAGCAGATGAAGCTGCAAACCAAAAACCTGGAGTGCACCTTAAAATGTATGAATTGTGAGGCGACGCTTGGCCCCTCGATGCAAATGAGGGTAATTATGAATTTGCACTACGTGCTCTGCCACGAAGAGATCTGGGAGCGAATTCTGTTTGAGCCGGAGAGAAGGACAAAGGTATGCTGGCTCCTTGAAGACTTATATAATTGCCTTCATTGCCCCTTGAGAATGATATTAAATTTTCCAGACCTTCGGCGACACAGCCCTCGTGCTCGGCAAGGCCAAATGCGCAAATATTGTGGGCGATGGGCCCTGTAATCAGCACCTTGGTTATGTGCTCAAGTATGCAGATTCCTATCATGTACAGTTGACGTTGAGATCGGTAAATTTCGGTTTTAAACGATTTGATAAAACTTTAATTTTCGCTGTTAATCATCGACGACCAAACGGGTGATCCGTCGGATGAGACAAGGCGCAAATGGGCTAGCGTACGGACGTCGTTGTTCTGGATTCGTGGCATCAACGATGGGGATTTGGTGGGTGTCCTAAAGTTACGTTAGAGGTGATATCGTGGTGATACCTACAAAATATTAAAAAAAAAGCAAATTTTAGAAGCGCATGCTTCGGCCGCTACCACAGAAGTTGATGAGGTCGTTCGTGGAGGCAGAGGAGGCGCTGAAGCAAGAGGTAGGGTGAGAGAGAAAGAGAGAGATGAGAGAGGGAGAGATAGACAGAAAAAGATGATGCAATGACCTCGATCCTACGCCTTCTTAGATGAAGCAACAATTGTCTCGTCGTCGTGAGCGCTTGGCTAGAGGCCAGCAACCACTCCTGGAATGGGACGACGATTACGACACGAAAAGAAATGAGAATGACTGAAGCTCACTTTGATTCTCAGAAGATCATCTCATTAATATGCCGGTATGACCGTTCACCCTTGAACTGTTAAAATAAATTAAATTTGATTATAGGAAAATTCTGTGTTTTCTTTTGTTCTTGATTCCCTGTGGATTCTCTTGCCAGTGGTGTTGTGAAGTTTTGTTTTTATTTATGCATTAATAAATTTCAAAATCTGAAAAGAACAACTGGATTTACAGCAAGTAATAAGACAAGTACGATACGATACACACGTTAATGGGCTGTGTCCGGAACCGGCGAAAACAAGAGGGCGTTCCAAAATCCAAATTGTCCTGGTTTTCTTGCAACCCAAGGTGCAAAGTTCCAATTTCGCCTCTGCCGGCTGCTCCTGGCGACAGTCTGAAAAAATCGGGCACCGAAAATGGCTAACCACGTTGTTGCCGGATTATGCAAATGGGCTGGGTGCAAGCGGCAAGGGGGCTGCGACCCTGGCCCATCAGACTTCACTTTTTGATGCCGTTTCCACAAAGTATACTGGAACAGCATTCGTACCGCAATCAGCCCCTGGTATTTGGAACTTTGAGGCCAGAAAGTGGTTGTTGAAAGTGCGATAGTCCCTCGGGGTTCCATTTTTGCGTTTTTCGATGGTCAGCCGGCATTTATATTTCAATCGCTTCTTTCTATCACGTTTAAAAAAAAATCAGTTGTTATATTATTATTGTTCTATAATCCGGAATGATTGAATTTGTATGGCACCTTGGGGAAACCCGGACGTTGTTTTTGGCAACGTATATTTTCTGAGAATTTCTCTTAAAAACCGTTTAATGGTATCTTCTTAAGGAGATTGTTTTGTCGAGTAACTCAGAGAAAAAGAGAGAACGTTTTGCTATATATTTCATACCATAATAGTCATGTATTTGCCAACTTTTCCTTACAGTACTGCTGCATCTCTGTACCCCTAGAAAACGCAGCCATTCAATAACAGTCATTTTAGGAAGATGTCTGACAGCACATCCTCGACGCGGGTCCTTCACGACAAGGAAAAGAAGGCTGATGTTATGTAATACCTGCTGATTGTTAGTTAAAAATCATTACAGTACCCCAAAAACCGAGTGGGCTTCGCTATGGATTTCCGGGATCATCCAATTTTTCTGCGCCATCCAATTTACGATCTATTTTTCTTCGCTATGGCCGTATTTACAACAAGTAAGAAAATCCAAATCCTTCCCATTATCGTATTTCCTCGCCTATTAACGATTTTATCGCTGAATTTCAGCTTGATCCCGCCTCGACTGAATCTCAATTCGGGCATATCACTGCCATTTACAGCCTCGGCCAGGGCTCCTCCCTGATGGTGTACGGTATCTGGAGCAAGAAAGCGCAGAATACAAGTCTTCCTGTGCTAGTAAGGTCATTTTAGAAACCATTGTACTTTGGCCTAGACAGGAATATTCATGATGGCGCTCGGAAATGCGGTGTATCTGTTGATACCAATTTTTGGGATTCAGCCTTATGCTGGGATGATGGCATCCAGATTGATTATGGGTTTGGGAGCTGGTGGGTGCATTAATGGGATACCAGAACGAAAATTTGGTTTAGAAAACTTAGCAAATCCATAAACTTTAAATTAAAAATACGACTTAACTTGGGAAAACGCTGTATCTATGTATTTGCAAAAACTATACAATTACGTTTACCCATTTTTTATGCGTTTGTTTTAGGTATCATTTCCCCGCTTCGCGCCTACGCAATCCAGGCCAGTACTAAGGACGATCGATCGAGGGCTATATCGCTAAATACGGGCGGTTTTTGCCTGGGATTGCTGGCGGGCCCAGGTGAGCTTCGATTTCTCGCCCCTTGTCGGCCTTTACGTAATGTAAAAGAAACCTCATTTGCTAAAATCATTTAGCAGGAGTAGAACTTTCAGCCCTACACGTCTAAATACCTATAATGCTTTTCCTAAACCATTTTTAGCTCTTCAAATCCTGTTCACCCCGCTCGGCTACCCGGGAATTCGGCTATTCTGGAATTTCTCGGCCAATATCTATACCGGGCCGGCTATCATGGGAATTCTTGTGAATCTATTTTCCGGTATTATGATGGTGATGGCCTTCCGAGAGTCAAGAATTGGGATTTACAAAATTGAGAAAATGGAGAATCGTGAGTTATGGCATTGCGACGACAAAGCTGGTTTAGCCGAGCATGAGCGGTTTTTCGCGCTTCCAAAGTATGACATTATTGGTGCTCTCATTTGCATATTTTCACGATTCGTTCAAATGTTTGTGATCACGAATCTGGAGACGTGGGTCTAAATTTGCTTTTCAAGACGCTGGGACAGCGGAGCGAAGCAGAGATAGAGACAGAGAGAGAGAGAGAGCGAGCGAGCGAGGGAGAGAAGAGAAAGAGAAAGAGATAGGGCGCTGTTTATTACTGAATGTGACGGATTTTTACCCTACGCGTTGTTCTTTCAGAATCGGCTCTCCTCTCACAATGACCGTATTTGCTTGGACTCGTGAAAAAGCCGTCTACTACAACTCGATGATGCACATCGGTTTCGGGCTGATCGGACTTGTCTACTATGGAGCGAATACAATTTGGGACTTTAGCAAGCAGTATGTCGAGCGTTTTTTTTTTTTCGAGCGGGCAGGCAACTAGCAAAGGCTTGGATAACCGAATTTTGAGAGAAAGCTTCATCCTACCCGTTGTGCTGCGTATATTTTTGTAAAGACAGCAATTCAGCCTGAATCATCGGCTCTGGACAATCTATGGAGTGCTACTCGTGACGTTGTTCCACTTACTTACCTATCCTTGGTGGTTCTTGCCCGGAAGCATTCAATATCAGAAGGAATGTAGGTTTTTTGCCCTTTTTCTGTTCCTAGGAAAATTCGTCTCCATTACCTTCAAAATACTTTTAAGAGTTTATTTAGACGACCTAGTTAATGGAACTCTTGTCAAAATCACGGAGCCAGTGGGATGCCGTCCAACCTTTGATTGGTGCGCCACCACTCCACCTATAAATGTTTACGTCTACGTTTTTTCCTACATATTCCTAATTGGGCTGGCATTTCCCATCATTAATGTGACGATGACGGTTGTATATTCGGATGTTATCGGACCTAGGGATCAGGTGGGTCAAGAAAAATCAAAAACTAGCAATTTCGCTACGCAAAGGCGCGAAAAACTTGAAAGGTCATCTCGTAAAGTTCTATAACCGAAGACATCCGACTAGCGGTAATTTCTATAACAGCTCAACCAATTTTTTTGGTAGTTTTAAATGTCATTTTTAAATATTTGCGATTCTTCAGGGCACCATGCAAGGAATTATACTACTAGCTGGTAGTATGGCGCGGTTGATGGGCCCGCTTTTCGTTGCGTAAGCTCTTAACCGTTTTTCTAGCAGGGTTTCGTGTTTTTCAGAAGCTTTTTCGAGTCCTCAGGCATGAAACTGCCCTGGATTATTGAGATTGCCATGTCTATCGGATGCGCAATGTTATGGATAATTTACTACAAACGGTAGTATTTTTCTATCACCAAAAATCGGATTTCCTTGTTCAGAATGGTCCCCCTGAAACACGGAAACGAGCTGAAAGCCGGCGACCATTATAAAAATAAATTCGGCAAGGTGGAACGGTTTTGAGAAAATAAAAATTTACCGGAAGTTCCGTTTGGGTTTTTTTTGCTGCTGACTACAGACTACAACTAGAGACGATTTGAAAAAGGCTAATGCTAGATAAACGTTTTCCACCTCTTTATGTTTTTCCCCCAGACCAAAAATTTCGGTGTGACGTACCCATAACCAGTCCGGTTTTCGTTTTGTGCACAACAACTTTCTCTCTCTCTCTCTCCCTCCCTCTCTCTCTCTCTCTCTCTCTCTCTCTCTCTCTCACCATTCCTTTCTTCCCCAAATCTACGTCACAATAAACTGAATGTCTCGCGGCTGGGCTCACGTCAGGTGAGGAGCAGGAAAAGTTCGTATTCTCTGTGGTGACCGAAAACGGGACGAAAAAAACGGCGGAACCGGATATTTATGTGACGTAATCGAATAAGTTTGTGTGGATTTCCAGTGTTGATAAGCGAAGTTTTAATTGGTCAAACGTGAAATTTCAATGACAAAAATTTTCTCGTGTCACAATAGCTTCAAAAACTCGTCCTCTCTCACATTCTCTCTCGTACTCACGCGCATTCTCTCTAGCTCTCTCTCTCCCTCTCTCTCTCTCTCTCGCTTTCTCTCTGTTTTTCCTTCTCTTATCTTTGGTGACGTCGAGGCCTCATCAAGATGACGAAAACTTTATGTTATTTCGCGGATCTGGTGAACTCTATTAACGGATCGCTAGATAACTTCAATTACCCTAAACCCGGTTATCTTACGGAATTTTAGGCTCACGAGTCAAGCCCGCACACTCATAGCATTCCATCCTTATCAAACTGGGCCAATGTTCGCTCCTCTTTTTCGAGGCATTATTCAGCCCTGCGGGCTGAATAAGAGGGGGACGACGTGTTGTGCCGGAAACGACCCCCTTTGAGCCCTCAGTATTTGTCTTCGGCTGAGTCAGGACATGGCTGACTCATGACATCGGCTGAGTCAAAAAGTGACAAACGGCTTTGTCACAGGCGTGGGACTGGTTTTGCTGGTTGGTGAGAATTTTTTGATTCGAAAAAAATTGGTGAGGAAGAGCATGTGCGTGAATTCAGGTAGAAGCGTAAAGCAGTTCTATATTAGAAGGCCTGGCAAGCAGATGTACAAACACGTACCAATACGTACAGAGACGCACGCCCGCGTAACGCACAGGCAACGCGCACCCAACGCATATGCGACGCACACGTGACGCGTACGCAATGCGCGAAATGGCCAAGGTTCCTCTGCTCTGCTTTTTGAGGAGACGCAGTCTGAACCGTGACGCGGACGCAAAGGCAGGCGTAACAAGTCACGTTCACTTGTTTCACAGAACATACTTTATACGCGGCTTCTTCTGGAGCTTTAGAGATAGCTTTAGACCTTCTAAGCAATGTATTTTCACCAAGCTTTCTTCCATCGCTGATTTTTAAAAACCGACTGAAACTGGGAAATCGGTTGTTTCCATGAATCATGTTCCTGTGCCGAAATGGTATTTAGCTACATAGAAGGTATTTTCAGACTCCCTTGGACAACCGGACGTTGATCGATCAGGTACACTTTTCCCCAGCCGCTCGATCCTGCGAAATCACCCAAACATCCGGTGTGCCACACCCAGTTCTTCCAGGTTGATCCCTGTCAGCCGCCAGTCCTCAACGACCCCTAAAGGGCGCTCCAAAATCCGGGGGCGCCCCCGGAAACACACCGGAATCACCCAGAATGACCGTTCTTTATGTGCTCTTTCACACGGCCTATCCACCTGGCTGCCCCACCCCATAGGAGGGGCTCACTCAAATTTTGCTCCCAGCCCGATTCGATTTATCACTTCAGCTAGGGGTGGTTCGCTTTTCCGAAGCGGCTGATAATGCCTAAATGACCAGGCGGGGCTATATTCCGGTAAAGAGGCCCGTTCACAGCCTGTGATTTGTGCTTTGGGGTTATAAAGATGACGCCGGAAACTGGGGTTGGTTCTTTGGAGTCATAGTTCTGGAAGTGGAAACAAAAAATGATTGTTAACGCGAGAGCGAGACAGGGAGAGAGAGCTAGCGAGAGAGAGAGAAGGAGAGAGGGAGAGAGAGTGGGAGAGAAAGGGAGGAAAGAGAGGAAGGGCCGAGAGAGAGAGAGAGAGAGAGAGAGAGAGAGAGAGAGAGAGAGCGAGAACGAGAGAACGAAAGAGCGCGCGTGAGTAAAGGAGAGACGTTTTCACGAGTTAATATTTAGCTTTAAAGGTAGGCCAAGTCAGAGGAACCTCCCTCGTTTGTCTGGATATCGACAACAACCACAACTTCTACGTGACACGCCAATAGACTAGAAAAGATCAAAAACAACGGTGTGTCCCATGCCTTGCCGATCCCTTTAAAGGCCAAGGAGTCAAAAGCCAGAAACTACAAATATGGTTTCACATTCACATCCCGACACGCGGCTTGTACTGGTCAATGTTTCATGCACCAAAGACGATGAGCTATTAAGCAGTACAATTCGCGGGAGGAATTATTGCGATATTTTTCAAATTTCGAACAGAATAGATTTCTATAGAAAATGAGCGCTATAAGGCTGTCCGACTCTCAGATACCCATTCAGCTTACCGGGATCGCATTCTGAAGCCGGGCCCCCGGGCGGCTATAATCCGGCCACCCTTTATATACATTTCTCACAGCCAAAGCCACTACACCCCCAAAGGGCTAATCAATTCGCTGGTGTGAATTTCGCATGGGACTGAGGTGAGGAGCTGAATTTGCTCAGTCAGCCGCCTTGTCTCGACAAGTTGTCTAAAATATGGCTGAATCAGGGCACGAATGAGGCGGTCGAGAATTTTCCCGCGCCTCGGAAATTTGTGAGGGAAGAAAATTCTGTGGCAATATGGTCGCCTGCGGGTCGTAAAGTTGGATTGCTGCAAGAAAATTCATGGGTTTTTTGGAGTGACGCGTAGTGGCAGAAAAGTGCAAGGATACCGGAAAGGCGCTTTTTTTATGAATTTTCATTTCCTCGAAAATGTTTAAAATCCAGCAAGACACGGCAGTTCTCCCAAAATCAGATTTTGGAGCTGGAGCTCTGGAACTGGAGCTCACTGGAGCATTTAATTTGAATAAAACACCCATAAAAAAGTGATGCCTTTGTGTTGCGAGGTGCGAAATCCGAGCACCTATTTCGCAAGCCCTTAAAAACAAGGGCCGCATCAAACAAATTTGCGAAAGTGGTCCTTAAAAATTAGTTTTGCAAAAATCGAATTGATCGGTAGAAACAGCTTTAAATTTAAAGGCTTTAACATTATGTAATTTTAAAGAGAAAGCAGAACAAGCTAAATTTTCTGATCTAGGCTTCCCCGAACTCTGAGAACCTAGGAATTTCGAAACCCGCCAACCAGGTTCTTGCGTCAAGGCAATCTAATAAAAACAGCATGATAATGGCAGTGCGGTAGTGCAAAATATATCCAGCTAGCGGATTGGATGACAAACAAAAATGTGGAAATCGTAAAGAACTTCCGGTTTCCAATGTACATATTTTGGGCCAGAGCAGATCTTGCAGAAATAAGCTTGAGCGATATAGGCGGTAGCTGAAAATATATACTTCGATTTTGATGACAAATACTGGTCACGAAATCTCCTAGAAGTTCTTGTTTTCGAAACTGCAACCAGAATCCCTTGCAAAAGCCAATCAACCCGTTACGCAATCGTCAGCTGAGTAATCGGAGGTCCGGAAAAGCCGCTGTTGTATTACTGGGGGTGTATGCGAGAGAGAGAGAGAGAGAGAGAGAGAGAGAGAGAGAAAGAGAGAGAGAAAGAGCCAGAATATTTTCGAAAGCCTCCTCATTTTTCTGTTTTTCTCCACGACAAGGGGCGAGCGTTCCGTGTGATTCCGCATCCTCTCTCCACCACCCTAAAGTGTGCCCTCTCGCGCCGTCTGCATCTCTCCACCCTCCTCCCTCTCCCCACTCTATCACCCCGGAATAGGCCCTGCCCCCTGAAAGAATGACTCACAAACTCTATAAAATGGGGGGACGGCCCCCTACCAGGGCTCTCATTATATTCCCTTACAGTCCTATTGACGCTATGATTCAGCTTACTTTGGCTACCGTATTCATGGAGTTGGGTCTTTTTCGAAATTGAGGCGATGAGGTTGGTTTCGACATTGTGTGAATTATTTGTCGTAACTGGATGTAATTTAGTAATACAAGCATGGTTGATTTTTAAAAATTCGCGCGTTAGTCTCCAGAGCTTTTAGTGTGATTTTGCATGAAATTTAAATATGATTATTTATCTTTTAAAAGCTAAGAGCTAGAATAATACTGTAGTCGATAGTAAAGAACGTAGTCGTTAGTATAAAACGTAGCCAAAAGGTTTTTGGCACAGAAAGTATAGCCCAAGTGCATCGACAGCCATATATAGCCAAACTTGGCCTGTAAAGTTAATTTCCGCCCCCGAGTCCGACGTATTACCTGCCGAAAATTAGTTCAGCAAAGGCGCCAATGGTAGCTTGGGGGAATGGCACGATTTTCTTGGGATCAGAGTGTTTTATTGTCAAAATAGCTTCTGAATGGACTCTAAAGGGCCGTAAAGCCAGAAAAAATAACTGAAAAACTTCTGAAAATTTCTCAAAAAGCTGGATTTGGCTCTACAGTAACCCTGGAATGTTCCGAAGCACAATCATGACAAAAACAAATCGATTACACTATCCTAAGACCAACATCTCAGTCCATTTCCGGACCAAAGGCAACCCGTCCGATTCGGCGAATCGCCTCCGATTTTCTCAATTTTTTCTGTGCGGTGATGTGTGGGCTGGGGGCAAAGCCCTGGTGGGGATGATGACTGTGCCGGTGTGTGGTTCGTGGAGGGGCACTTTTTAGAATGTGACCTCATCGCCGGTGGGTGGCGTGTGTTTGGTTTATCTGTGTATGAGATTTAAGGGAGCGAGCGTAGGATGGAGAGAGATAGAGAGAGAGGGAGCGAGAGAAAGAGAAAGGGAAGGAGAGGGAGGGAGAGAGAAAGTCAGACAGAGAGAAAGGTTCTGATGTTTGACTCGGATGCATGTTTCGTTCCTGTTCTGTTAAAGTCCCTGTTGCGAGTGCTAGCAAATAAATAAAGCAAGAAAACTCCCAAATTATCATTTAGTATTGATTGATACTTCTCTAGCACTTTTAAAGGGACAGGGATAGCAGGATTTTGGTCCTTGAAAATGAAGTTTCTTATTTTTCAAGTAAATAGATCTAGGACTAACCCAAGAGGATCCAAAAATTCCCTACGCGTCCATCGTCAAAACTCGTTTTTTTCTATTTGTCTGCACATCCACCTGTTTGTCACCCACCCCAAAATCCGACCCAATATATTTTCACCCCTCTCGAACATTCCATTCGTGCCGACTGTTTTTCCTGTCGCTCCACCGCCTACTCCCCCCAAATCCGTCCAAAGTTCCGGCCTGGAAATTTGAGCATTTGAAGGGGAATTTAGTCTGCCAGGAAATGGACCAGTCATCGGTGCCAGACATCAACATGCAACACTGACGGAACGTTGGAAGTTTTGGCTCCGGGAAATTAAAAAATTGAGAAAGAGAGTGCGAGAGAGAGTGCGAAAGAAAGAGATAGAGAGAGACAGAAACAAGCGAGGAATGACTGATAAAATCCAATTTCATCACACTAGCGCAATTGTTTTTCCCAATTTTTATGTGCATGGAACGGCAATGTGGCTTGCATGTGTTTTGTAGCTTATTGTTTGAGGTATTTGGAGCCCTATGGGCCTATAAAATAAACCGAAAACCCCTAAAAGTGTCGGCAAGATCATCTATTCCCCCCCTGAGAATTCAGATTTTCTAACCTTTTTCGCCCACTACAGTACACCCAAGCTACGGTAACCCTTCACCCATCACACCTACGGATCTCATGACCAGGGCGTCAATTCCAGATTCCAGAACTTTCCATTGTGACTCAGTGTGCCCACTGGGTGGGGGCAGCTAAAGGCAGCGAGGCGGTGGTTTCGAAACGTTTTTCGTGGACAGGTCCGTTCCGGCACGTCTGCTCTGTGTCTCTACGTCTCCCTCTCTCTCTCTCTCTCTCCTTTGCTTCTCCCCCTTCTCACACACCTTTCGAAATAGTCTTGTGTGTGGCGGGTGAGTCATAGCTTGAGGGGGGCGGGGGCGCTTCTCCGAGCCTGCTGCTGCTGGTCGGACAAAGTGAATGGTTGTCTATTTGTGGCTGGCGTGGGAGAAGAGCTATCCGTTCGTTTTAAATGGCGCTTGAAGTTGGGATACGGTAGGTGGTTTGGGGGATGTTATTGAAATTTTGGTTTGAAAAACAAGGGGAAAAAAATACCACGTTTACTATAGAATACAGATCAAGAAAAAGGCGCCTTTTGAATGAATTTTGATCGATGAGATTTTGCGTTTTCGGGTTTTGTGAACCGTTCTAGAAATTCTTTTCATTTTGATTCAAGTTCATAGCAGATTTTAAGGTCTGTAAATTCGTACTGTAGTGTAGTCTGTGGTCTTGCAGCGTTTAATGCAGCGTTTGTAAATTTATCGTTTGTAAATAGGTATCGTATCGTAGTCTGTAGTTTTGTCGGGCTCTTCCGGATTAAGCATCGAATCATGGGCTTCTTTAATTTTTATTGTTTTTAATATTATTGTTTCTCGAATAATCCAGTTCTTTGTTTGCTTCAACTTTAAATTTATCGTTTTTTATAGTGTGTAAATATGCACGTATAGTTTTGTAATTCGTAGCCTCATACCTTTCAGCCCGAGAAATTTCGTTGTTTTCTAGCTTCCGGTATAGTCTCCAGCTTCCGCTGCCGCCAGGCTGTCCACGAAATCCGCTCCTCCCCCGGTTAGCCGAAATTTTCATCATATTCCGGGGTGATTGTTTGTGTGTGCGTGCATGTGCGTTCGGGGCGGAGCGGAGCGTAGTCTATACCCGGGGCAATGCCCCCCCCCCCACCGATAAGCCGACGTGTCGTTGCCGGGTGGCGGGCTGAGTCAAGGGTTGGTCGGCCAATATTTTTCGGGTTGGTTCTGCGGGAGTTTTGTGCCCGTCTCGCTATTCGGTTGTCCTGCGGAAAACAGTCAGTTTTATCGGGTTTTTAGTCGTCTGTCTGGAAGTATATTTTGTTCCGTAGCCCTTGCCGATAACCGGTTTTAATTTGTAGCTATTTGTTTGATTTTGTCTTCTGACTCTGGACATAATTTTTGTCCAATTTTGGAAGCTATAGCTTGATTTTTTGGGGTTTTACGGTAGCGTACTGTAAGGTACTGTAGTGTACTGTAGTTTTCTAGTTGTCTGGTGCCAAAAAAGATGGTATCTTATCTCGCCTGGTCACGTCAAAGATGACTGCCCCGGATCGTAGAAAATGCACGTAGCCGGGATTTGGGATCGGAAATCGATTCTTGAAAGCCAGACATCCCGATTTTTCAGCCTGAACTTTGATTTGTAGGTGAAAAAATTATTGAAGGTTGATCCAGCTTCATTTTGGCTTCTTCCAGCAGCTTTATCGACTACAACAAGTCTTCCAAAGTCTAGAACTTCGAAATTTCCGAAACTACAGACTACACCTCGAGACCAAATGTTTTGCGATGTTGCCGATTCCCCAAACACCAGCTGAGTTGGGGGGGGGTTAGAGTCTGTGAGTGTCTCACCGCAGGGCCGAAAAAATCCCGTGACGACGCTATGCGTGAGCCTTGTGACTGGGCGAAACACACCAACCCACGCCAGCATCTGGCGTTCAGAAACTTTTTAATGAAGTCTTAAGTTTATAGCTAAGATTTAGATGTAATCCGAATGTTCTGCGCGTAGTTTTTTAAGTACTGTATTCGAAATTCTATCGTTTCCGCTACCGTATCCTTCCGGAACACACTATTTCGTAATCTTCAAGAGGTGCTTAGCTGGCCGTTCGCAGTATGTTATTGTAAGTGAAAAAATTGTCTGTAACCTTAAAAAGATTAGCCGCGCTCTGCAACTAGCAACTAGATGTTTTTCAAATAATTTCATTTCGACTGATGTCTTGTCATTTTTACATCGACTAGCAGATAATATGATATTACAATACCTTAAAAAGTATAAAATTAATGCCAAACAAAATCATTCCAGGGCCAATCACCCAAAATTTGCCCCCAAACACTCCAGTCGCATTACGACACACTCCTCCTCCCTCCACCCGCCCGTCATTTGGTGTTCGCCGGATGGCCTTTTCGTTGTGTGTGTGCCGGGCGTTTTTCCTTGCTTTTTTCAGTGTGTTTGCTAGCCAGCCCCCCTCTGGCCAGGGGGGTCAGAGCCCTCCTCCTCCCCCCACCCAAAACCGTGCCAGTTGCTCACCATCCACCCCCACCTACCCAACGGGCCTAGCTTGATTTTTCGGCCGGGTTTGACTGGTCGATCGGTCGGTCCGAGTGACCCTCCCGTTCGATCGGTGGGTTCCGGTGGCTGGATTTGCTGATTTGCACGTTTCTTGGGATCTAAAGTTTAATTCTCTTAGCTTATATAGCGTTTAAGGCTTGAAAAACTATGTTAGGCACCATTATTTCGAGCTTTCTCTCTCGAAAGCTGAAAATGTTACATCAAATTCGTTAAATTAAATTAAGGGGTTAGGCAAGGTATGTGTAGGTGTGTGTATTTTCCAGCCGTGGCCGTTTGCTATGAGGTCTATTCGATTACGCAATTAAATGGTAAGCGTTACATGTCGTGGGGCCAGCAAATTTCATAAGGACTGATTCCCAAAAATCCATAAACTAGCCTTTCATGTCCCTTTAAAGTCCAGATTTCAAAATTGTCCTTACTAGGGCGAAAAAAAGAATATCTGAAAAAATAGCCCTTCATTAGGGCGTTGGGCCCGAAAAATCATCTAAATTGAGGCATTTTGACTATTTAATGTTTGCTTTTCGATACCTACCCAAAGATCCCAATTCCACTCGAGCCCTATTTACGTCCTATCGCAACATTTTTTTCGCTCTCCACCCTGATCCGCCCCCTAACTATTCGGCCGGGGTATTGACGCACTAGGGGTCCAGCACGGCGGCTTCGACGAAAAGTGATAACGGCCCACATCACTAGGCGGGTCGGCCCAGATTCGCCTTCTTCGATATTCCAGAATGTTGCCACCGGACAGGAAGCTTCTGCTGCGCTGATAGCCGGAAATTGGGTATTTCTAGAAGCTCTCTCGACGGTCTGGCTTCAACACGATTTTTTTCGGAGGATAACGGTAAGTTTAGATGCTTTTTGATGACCTTGCCTTTCTTTCCCCTATACTATATAACCCGATTCACACGAATTGTACTAGGCTAAGGTGCTGTACTACCGTTGAAACAGCGCCCTGGTTCAGTGCAACCCGCGTGTCGGCGTTAAAAGCATGATCCCCCTACCTTTACTTAGATTTCTTGGATGTTAGATTTTTGTAGTGTGTAGTTTTGCAATTGTTTTACTTTTTATAGCTCGGAAGATCGGCCACGCCAAAAAGCATAAGGGTGTTTTTGTTAATTTTTGATAGAATAAACGGTTTTATGTATATTTCTTGTCGCAGACCTACGTCAAAAAGTATTTGCGGTGCATAAAAACACACTAAATACACATAGCTCACCTGAAAACACAACTCTCCAAAATTCCTGCGCGGCCCAAACTAGGGAAAAACAAGTTAATCGCCGAAATTTGGCCGTAAATTTTTAGTTCCTCCCGGGAACTAGGCAACGCGCTGTGATTTGGTGACAAACAACTTTTAAAACACCGAATTATTACACCAGTATGCGATTGAAATGCGGTTGTAACTTGAAGCACCAGTTTTATGCAAAAAAGGACCGAAAACGTGATGTTTTTTTGGGGTCAGTGGTTGGTCTTCAGTTGAGGGCAAGCCGAGATGGGAGTGCAGCTAAAAACTGGTCCTTGAGGAGCTTTGGATGGGTTTATATCAATCTTAGCTTTAAAAAATTTTGGGCTTCTTGAACTTTAAATGGTTTAAAAAGTTATACTAGAAAACAGAGCTTTGAAGATTACTTACTCTCCTTCCTTGTCATTGTCGCTAGCCCTGACGTGTCCAGCCTTGCAAGCACAACCTGGGCCTCCGCAGCGCAGGGAGAAGCAGGGGGATACCTAAAATTCATATAACTATTATGTATTTGGCATTATTAAAACAATTAAACGACTTCTCAATCTCAATTCTTAGATCTATAAAATCCACCTTCAGCACATTCTCGCAAGCCTTCTCCGGGCACATCGGCCCGCACTCACGCCATTCCGCGTTTTTCGGGCAGCTCTCTGAAAGAAGGAACAGGGTTTTGAACAGAATAAATAATACGGAAGCTTGACCCAGCTGAAACACAAGCTTTTTGAAAGAACTAGTTTTTTTTACTGTGTCTTACGTATTTCTATATCGAAAAACTTACTGTTCAACTCCTTCTTTTCCTCCTTGAAGCTGCTCAGTTCGTCGTCGGAAAGGAGGGAATCTAAATAATTTTATTTGATAGAAACGTAGTTTTTAATATAATGTTTTACTGTAATTTAAATATACCCGAACTTCCACGTCTAGCCGTCGTGGCAGCAAGTGCAAGGCCGAGCAACAATAGAGCAACAGCAATTTTAAGCATCACTGAAAACTTTTATGTATCTAAAGAGAAATAGCAAGTGAAAACTGAAATCGCAAACATTCAATGGCGAAAATCAATCGGCGGAACAGCTGTTCGCCTCGCGTATCCCAAAAAAATGCGGAAAACAATTTTGGTGTACTGTGATTTCAGAGAACTCCTTTGTTGGGGTCGGGAAAAGTCAAAGGTCACTTCTTAGCATTTTGAAAAACGTAGCACGAAGAGGTTAGAGCCTGTTTTTAGGGATTTTCAGGTAAAACCGGATAATTGTGAAAAGCGACAGTTGCTGCATCAGTGTTATTTGAGAAATTAATGCGAAACGACCCGGAAATGATACTCAAATAGTTTAAAGAGCTGTATTTTATTTACATTTCAAAACAACGCTTCCGGCTCGGGCAAAATTTAATTTATTAGTGCGCGGCTTCGCGTATCGATTCATAACGGGCTTGATAACGGAGCGGATTGATGTAGATTGTCCGAGATTCCAACATTAATGTGTTAAGATCTGCGACATGGGTGCAAAAACATTGAAAAACGGACTATATTAGTTCAATTGATGCATTCTTATAAAATTTAGTCCTATAAAAGCCTTTAAAATAGCGTTCTGTTCGCCAAATTATTCCATTAAGCGTCACTAACCAGACGGCGACCACGTGAAAAATAAACTCCTAGAGTCAATGGATATCCAAGGGCCGGGCCCACTCATTTCTCGGTTCTTTTCTGTCTCCCAAAAATCCTGCCAATGTTTATCGTCGCGTCAATCTGGGCATCCAAGCGGTTGGGGGTGGCCTCGAGGGAGGGATCGATGGGCAATAGAACTAAAAAATGTCTAAAAACCTTGTGGCGTCGTTATTTTGAAAATTCTCAAAATAAATACATATAAAATCAAATCGGGGTACTGTGGCTTCCGGTCCGGAAATGGGGCTTACTTCAGCGGAGAGCCCAGGTGGCCCATTTTTCGCATTTATTGCGCTCAATCTAGTGGATTTGTCAGATAAAACCCGCCTACTTACATCATTGGAATTGTCTTTATCCATTTTTTATTTGAAGGAGCTAAAGCAAGGTGTTATTTCAGCTAAATTAGATTAATTTTAGATACTTAAGATCGAACGGCTCATCCATATCATTGGAATTATTTTTGTGTTTTACATTCCTTGATTTAAATGCGTGAACGCAAGCATTACACTTTAACTGGTTAATCCAACCAATTACGCTACGAAATATTGTAAGTAGCGTGTAAAAACGTCATTAGTCTATAGCAATTCCCCGACTTGACTCCCACTAAATCGAGCAATCACCTTTCACAGAGGATTTTTATGATTCAAAACTTCGGCTGCTTTTTAATAGCCGTTGAGGGAAAAATTGTAACCGTCATGCAACTGCAAGAACTAGAAATTTAGCTTAAACGCTTTAATCCAATCGATTACGCTATGAAATGCACCTCTCGACCTGCAGGTTTTTACAGCTTTCAGAATTTCCAGGACCTTCCACGCCCAACAATCGTCAATCCCTAATTGCGTATGCTTGTTTCGAGGGTTTACTGCTGCGGGCCCCCGGCCAACACTTTCTTATTCCACACACACGGCCTTATCCAGAGCCTCAAAAAGGAGTCCGGGGGAGGGCGAGAGAGCCCTGAAAAGAGGAGACGCAGAGCCAGCGGTCGCGTCGCGGTCCCGACATCATTTATTTCCGCTGAGCACCGCCAAAGGGGGACTCCTTTTTCGGGGGTTGGAGAGGGCCCTCTACAAGTCGATACTAATTCCATTTCATTGCCAGCACATTGGCCCAATCTCTGTCGATGAGGAGACGATTTTTCATCATCTATCTTCTAAATTTGTCTAGGTTAATCGAGTTTTTATGTTTTAGTTGCCAGCTCATCCGATCTCAACGGCAGTTTTTCTTGGAAAAACTTATATTCGGGTTCGAGATAAGCAATTTCTGCAAAAAATAGCCGAAACGTCTAATTTCAACGTGAAATTCGAGAAATTTATTTTGTTAAACGTGAAAAAACTGGGTTTTTAGGCAGGATTTGCCATGATCTCTATTCAATGACCATACTACTATCAAATTCTAAAGGAAATTGAATTTAGTGTAAAATATATTAAGAAAATGCTTCGAGTTGCGCGAACCATAAAAATATTTTATTTTTATTTTTATGATCGGATACTTGACTATCTTTCTTGAACAACGGGTTTTTCTGGGCTTCCTTTGCCAAATATTTTTACCTTTTTTTGAGTTTCGCATCTCAAATTTTTTTGCCAATTACTATGCTGCCATTCAAAGCAGAAACTTACTTTCATTTTGGAAGAATTTTGTGGTTGTATGAAAATTAGCTGGATAAATTTTTATTTTCATAGACTTGTTTCTAGTAAGGTTCAAAGTATAGCCACTTTTAGGCGGGCTATGTGCAAAAAACGATGAGCTCGCCGGAGGGCACATCGGAAGCGGATACGGAATCCCACGATGGATCTCCTAGGCACGCTGATCCAGCCTCACCTTCACCCTCGGAAAATGAGCCTCCGCCCAGGCCCCCGGCTCCGAAGAGGTGCGTTAAATAGCTATACTTTCTTTATACAAAACAAAATTAGGATTCAGCTATCATAAAATCTTTAGATTAACACCGGAGGGCACACCACAACATGGCAATAACCTAGAAGCCAGCCCATTGCACAATTTGTATGAGAAATTTAGCGCAAAGGAGAAGGAGATTGAAAAGTAAGCAAATATAATAGATAGTTTTTTAACGTATTAAAGTAAATGGATTAGGTGCAAGCTTACCTCCGATTCTACAGGTTAGAGCAACAAAACAGCGACTACCGCGAGCAGTTGATAAGAACGATTAGGGAGCGGGATTTGAATGAAGAATTAGTGAAGGTAAGTAAGCTTCGGCACCAGCTCAGACTACGGCTTCGTGCCGGTTAGGCTTCCGCTTAGGCTCGAGCTTTGCTCAGGCTCTAGCTTATGCCAGGCCTAATAAGTTAGCAGTTCTTCCGGTTAAGTCACGAGCATTTCAGAATGTCCGACAAGAGCAAGCCGAGAAATTTGCGGATCTGCAAAGACGGAATAACGATCTCGAGTCGCAATTACGGGTTTCAAAGGTAAGTTTTGCATTTATGACGTTGTAACGCAGGTACGAAAGCATGCTACTGACGTACTTAAAAACCAAGGCGTACGACTAACGTTCTTCAGAGTAGATTTTTTTCTTATTAGGATCGTGCCACCGCCCAGGAAGCCCATTACACTGCCACTACAAAAGATCTCGTCGCCAAGTTCAATGCCCAGATTGCTCAGGTTGGGTTATAATCAGCTGCTTGAGATCGATGATTTTAGTTAACAAAAAAGCAAGAAAATGCAGAGCGTGAGAAAAATGAAGCGGTAGTAAAGTATGCGATGAAGGAGGGAGAGATTATGCGGGTGGCCGATGAGAATAAGAAAAAGGTATGGCGGCGCTTGAATTTTTATCATGCCATTTTTAAGACTCCCTAGTGTACCATATCTATTTCAAAAATTGCCCGTAAAAGACACGTAAACGTGTAAATGTAAATCTTGTAGGGTGAAGAAAATCGACGCCTGAAGCAAGAACTCGACAATTTTCTAAAAAGCGCCGATCATGAACGACTTGAAGAACTTGTAAGTCGACATCCGATTACCGTATTGAACCATATTTTAGGAAAAAGCCAAGCAACAACTTACTGTCGAGCTCGAGAAAGTCAAGCACGAAAGATTCGACCTGGATAATCGGTTGAAAATCTCGGAGAAACGGATAGAGGTAAGTAGCTTTCAAAACTCATAATTTACGATCATAAAACGACTAAAATCATATGTCTAGGTCGTCCAACTCGCTGCCAACGATCAAAAACAGCAAAACGAAGTACTGCGTCGCCAAATGGTTCAGATCAAGGAGGAAAAAGCAGCTTTCCAAGAGAATGTGCGATCGCTGGAATTTAGGATACAGGTAGGTGCAATTAGCACTTTAACAACCAACATAATGCAAAAGAAAAAAATGTGAGACAACCGTTTTGTAGAGCGAAAGCGAGCGCAAGAACCAGCAAGACCAGGAGAGCTCAAAGATTCAGGGTGAGCAGGAGGAGATGTACAGGTCAGTACCATGAACGATCTCATTGAATGGCTTTAAAACAATTTTTGATTTTTAGATCCCTTGTCGAAGACCTGGAACGGACAAAGAAACTGAACCGAGAGTTGGGCGAGAAAGTGGAAGAACTAGCAAGGTATTTTGGAGGAAAGCGTGCAAGAGAACAGCGAGTGAGAGAGAGGGGGAGAGAGAGCAAAAGCTGGAATAAGAGAAATATGGATTTTATTTGGTTTTAGAGAGAACTCGTCGCTGATGACCAATCTGACTACCATCGAGGCACAACTCCGGAAAGAAGAAGCTGAACATGCCGTCGTGCGGAAGAAGGCTGAAGACTTGGAGGGAATTGAGCGGAAGGTTAATGGGTAGGTTTTAACGCGGCCTTTCAAAATATACGCTTCGCTGTCCGGCAAAGCTTTGTATCAAAAGAAACAAATCTATTAAAAAACTATTTAGGTCACTGGAAGAGGCACGGAAAGCCAGACTAGCCAAAGACGAAGCGGAAGCAGACAAAGCCACGGCCGAATCGGAAGCGGACTCTTGTAGGAAACAAGCCGAAAGAATGCTGGAGATCACGGAGCAGCTGACGAACAGGAATACACAGCTTTGCTCCGAGATGGAGACAATGAGGGAAGAGGTTCGTAGATGTCGAAGCGGAACTTAATTTAGCTTTTTTAGAATACTATTCTGCAAGAAAAGCTGATCGCAGCCGAAGGAGCACAAAGTCGAGCCGAAAACAAGCTGGCTGATAACGAAGCGCGAGAAACGACCTCGACTCAAAATTTGGAGACCGAGCTCCAGATGACGAAGGAGGAGATGAGAGCGAAAAATGATAAAGTTGGTCTATAATTTAATTTCTACAATTTTGACGATCGTTAAAATGTAAATCTTGGCTCAAGAGCTCAACAGAATTGCCGCAAAATGTCCAAGGACCAAAAACCCTCAAGAATCGCAATTTGGGCAATATTTAGTCAAAATGAACTTAATGAATTTGCCTTTCAGATCTACGAACTACAGAAAAAGCTTGAAAACGAGATCAACCAAGCGGGTATCTACAAGAAGAAGACGATGTCGAATCTGAAGGCAAGCGCCGTTTGGCTCCCAATCACATTATGCAAATTGAATTATTCAGGAGCTCAAGGCCGAGGTGTCGAATCTGCAAAAACAGCTGAAGCAACAGCAGCAAAATAGCCAATCCGGGCAACCGGAAGTGGTTGTCGAGTTGCCGGGGCCGTCATCTGGAAGTCGTAGTCGGACAAGTTCTATCACGAGCATGGATCAGGTAAAATAAATGCTTACGAAATTAGCTATTTGTAAATATTTTTGTGTAAGCAATTTAGATAAATTCTAAATTCACTATTTTTGTTTTTTTTTTAGGTAGCCCGATCTTCTGAAGCTTCTTTCAACATGCAGTCACCTCAAGAGGAAATTACTCCTCCGCCCTATCAACAGCAAATGATTGAAAAGGTAGGTAATACAAACATTATTAGATTTTTCGAGCACTAAATTATAGACTACAAACCATATCTCACTTCTATAGATCGTAAAACTCCAAAAGCAACTCGCGAGGAGGTCCGAAAAGATCGAATTTTTGGAGGAGCACGTGCGACAATGCCTGGAGGAGCTGCAAAAGAAGACCAAGTAATAACTGTCACTTTCGGGCTCTTTAAAAACATTTAGAAAACTCTTAAATTAAATTAAACCTTTTAAAAGCCATAAAATCAACTTTTCAGAATCATCCAGTACTACGCTCTTCGAGAAGAAGCCTCACTGCTCGTGCCTGATGACAAGGACCTCAAGAAGGTTAGTACTTTGGTCATAGGCTAAAATAACTGACCGTAATGTGTTTTACCGTAATCTTTCAGCTGCTAGATATGTGCGAGGTGGTGCAGGTAAATTACCGGGAATCGATGTCGTACTGTAGAGCACTCCTCCGGTTTTATGACCTTTCAGTTTTCCACCACTATCCAGCAACCCGAACAAATATCTTTAGAGAAACTCGACGTGAACAGGGAAATTAGGGCTTGAGCTATACCGGAACTTTGAAATCGTCAAAAAACATCTTTTCGAAAAATCCGTAAACCAACAGATGACGATATAAAATTACATCAACCTTCTCACTACAATTAGCTCAAGCCTTCCTTTTCCAGATCTGGCGCAGGTTTTAGTTTATGAATTCCAATTTCAGGTGCCAATCTCGAAAAAGACGGCCCCGGCGTACAGCCTGATGGGTTCGATGTGGTCGATGGGAAGCGACAAATCTGCACTACAGCTTGCCACCGAAGTTAACTCAAGATTACAGGCTGTTTTGGAGGATACACTATTGAAGAATATCGCATTAAAGGTAGGGTGGCTAGCAGAGAGCTTTTGGGAAGCAAAGCAAACATAGCTCTGTCTCTCTGTCTCTCTTTCTCTCTCTCGCACACGCTCTTCCCTCTCTCTCTCTCTCTCTCTCTCTCTCTCTCTTTTTTTTTTTTTTTTTTTTTTAAAAAAAAAAAAAAAAAAAAAAAAAAATTTTCCCTCACGCCTTCTCTCTCTTCCTCGTAAGCTTACTCACACCTGCCACCCTATTTTTTCAGTCAAGCGTCGACAAGCTCGGAGAAGAAATTGCCCGACTGTCTCGTGAAAATCGTCAGCTCACGCTCAAAAAATAATTTCCCCCAAGGATTTCCCCAAATACCTTGACCTCAATTCACCGTATGCCAATACCCAAGAATAGTTTTATTTTTGTATTTAACTATAACTATTTATTACCTAGGCCATAATTTCTCGTGTAGCGAATCTCCCCCACCGGCACTCCCCCAAAAACAAACATGAACTGTGAATTTTCAGATCCGACTAGTCATATCTTTATGTCTCCGTGTTGTCAATATGCAAATTTTGCTTCCATTTTCGTGCTCTGTCTTTGCCCTTACGCTTTTCACTTTCCCCTACCCAGATGCCATGCCAAAAACAAGTAATAACAAAATTACAGCTATTATTGGAATCCCAAAAAAGTTTTCCCCCCTTCACCGGTTTATTCGTTGTGATTTCCTAGCAAGAAAAATATTTTCGAGTTGGGCTGTCGCTTTTGCTTTCTTTCACTGTCCCTCTGTGTTCTATCTATTGACATTCCAAAAGTTGTGAAATTTTTTGTGTAATTGTGAAGTGATAAAGTTCTATGACGAAAGGGAGCTAAATATCGGCCGGTAAGCGAAAGATGAAAATCAAACGACGTCTAATAACGTAAAAATTCTGATTACCGGAAAGACCCGATCGCGAAAACAAAATCAGACGTAACTTTATGTCACTTGTTACTGGCTGGCTTTGGCTACTACTGGCTACTGACTGGCTAGGCACTATATAGACTGCGAAGGACGTAGCCACCCGGTTAACTAAATAAACCGTCGTTTTAAAATTTTAAAATTTTGAATTTTTGCCTGCTACGACAACTTTTAATATACCTTTCTTTTATTAGCGTTGTTAAACCCGCGACGTGTACTAATCTGAACGTAATCCATAACGCAATGTAGACACGTTGCGTGCCGCGCTGCGTGCACGTTCCCATCAAGGTAAATAGTACACATCCACTGAGAGGTAACGAAGAAATTTCCGTCAATTCAAAGAGCCCAGACAACGCCGCCATGACTCCTAAAGCGGCTAGGGCTGAGTTCAAGCCCCGGCGCACGCGTTGCGCGTCGCGGGGCGGCAAATCCGGAAGTCCGACCTTGTCGCTCGCTACAAAAAAGGCAGACTGATTTGGCGCTTGTCTATTAATGCGCTAAAAATGCCCTGTAATCTTGTATACAGTAATATTACAGTAGCACGAGCGCTCGTGCTTTGTGTGTCGCGCGCATATTAAAACCCACACGGAATTCGTGGCGACCAAAAGCAATTCTTCATTGCGCGTTCCGTATAAACCCATCGGATCATTAATACCTGCTTATTGCTCCACAATCGGGTCGCGGAATTAAAAACGAAACCTTTTCGTTCAGGAAGGTATAAATATTGATGCGTGTAGTACGGTAACCCAGCCAGCGTTTGAATCCCCGAAGAATTCAATAGCCCTTTAAGGATTACATATTGTAGCGACCCAGCCTTCCACCCTGCGGTATCCACTTACCCAAAATGAGTCCCAATACCCGGGCGGTGGGGCTCACTCTCCCTCCTTAGGGCCCACTCCCCCTAGGCAGCAAGCGATGATGGGTGCTTTATGGCTTGATTGGCGGAGGCTGGTGGTGGAGTGGCGTTTCTGCTGATTCGATTTGAGTGGTTGCGGTGTGGTGGTGGGGTGGTAGAAGGAGGGCTATGATGGCCAGTATCGTCGGGTCTTCATGTCCCTTGATGGGCCCAGAAGTCCCCTCCAACCGAAAACCGAATCAGCCAAATAGCCCTCCCCGGCAATCGGGAGAAATCGTGGAGGAAGGGGAGGATCGGAAACAGCTTACTCTGATGAAAGGGATACCCCTACCAAGGAATCAAGAAGTCTTCCACTTGGGGCCCCCGATCACCTCTGGCATCTGGACTTGCTTTGAACCGTCGACTTCAAGTAGTAGAGCACTGCTTGAACTCGCCGAAATATCGTCGCGCACCTCCTGTCGACCTGGAGCTACCTTAACTGGCTCGACCGAGGTCGCTAACTACTACCTTCTTGAGATCGCCAAATGAGCTGGAACTACAGTATCCCACACCTGTTCAACCCATTCTTGGCCCGACTACTGCCATTGCCGAATTTTGCAGGTAAGTTGCCAACGGCCGCTGTACTCCTGTACTCCTCTTTTCGATATTCTTACATATCCAATTTTCTCGCATTCTCTCTCTCCTCTCTCTCACTCACTCACTCTCTCTCTCTCTCTCTCCCCTCTCTCTCTCTCTCTCTCTCTCTCTCTCTCTTCCTCGCTGCCGCCCTCGCTCCCTGATCTCGTAAAACATGAGCTTTAGAGCTCCTCCTCGAACTCCCAAAACCTGGTACCGATTTTTCCATTGATAAGTTGTTGGGCCTCAGTGAAAAGAGTGGCAATCCAGGTAAGCCATGCTTTTTATCAAAAATTCTTTTTCTAGAAAAAGCGAAGAAAACCTCCGTCCCTTACATCAGAAACGGAAAATCAAAGAAGAAAAAGGCTAGGACCACTTTTACGGGTCGTCAAATCTACGAGCTCGAACGTCAGTTTGAGGTCAAGAAGTATCTATCATCTACAGAACGACAGGAGCTGGCGAGGGCACTGTGCTTGACGGAAACACAGGTAATTTGTATTAAAAAAATGGCTATCCTCTTAAAAACGTCTAATCACCGGGTGGTAGCTTAGCAGGGATTCTTGCGGAAAGAGCCAGAATTTTGCTATGATGAAGCAGCTCATTGGATTCAGCAATTTCAAAACCGACCTGAGCTTCAAGGCTGACCCTGTTGAACTTGAGGCAGAGAAGCCGTGGTTTTTTGGCAGAATCTGACGTCTCCCTGATATATAGCTCGTTTACAACTGAAAGCTGATACCTTAAAACCGTCCATTAGTTTCAATTTATCTTTTTAAACGCTACTTTTCAGGTCAAAATCTGGTTCCAAAACCGGCGAACGAAATGGAAGAAATTTGATTCCGAGGTGGGAGGCAAGGAGATTACGGTAGTCGTCGACGCCGAATAGCGAATAAACCGTTTATGCTGCCCGTCACAATAGCATATTCACAGTCTCTGGTGGAATTCGTGGAATGTTGATACAAAAGAAAATCACATTTCGCAAGTGGCTATTTTTGGCCGGCATCTTAAAGTATGGCGTAATCGGAGAATGAGAAGGGGAGTAGGCGTCGCGCTGAGAAGCGCCAAATATGACGTAATTGGTGTAGACGTTTCTGAAAAATAGGGAACGTTAAGAGGAGCTTAAAGGAATCTCGATTTAAGGGGCAGGCTAGAAATACAGTAATTTTTTAGTTTTCGAAAAAACTAAAACTGTCTTATGCGGCCCGCTTCAATCCGATAAAAATTGTTAAATACACTTGATTATTCCGGATTCATTGAACGCTCGGCCTTTCTCCATCTCTTTTTTTCCTGCTCTCTCTCTCATACTCTGTTTCTCTCGTGCTCACTCTCACCGGCTCCCTCTCACTCTCTCTCTCCCCCTTTCTCTCTCCCCCCTTTCTCTCTTACTCTCACTTACTCATGCAAAACCGAAAGTGAAGGCCCATGGGTCTGATGATCTCCGCTAGCGTTTATTTATAATTTTTTACTGCGCGTAAGCTAGGCTTTTTGCAGCTACTCACCAAATCGGTCTGCTTGAAGCATATGGGACATCGAAATTTCCCTGACGAATAGTCGTACTCGTATTCTTCCTTTTCCATAATTCCAAAAGTTCTAAAACATAAATTTACCATGGAATGGGCTCAACTCACTTCATATCAGAATCCGCGGCACAAGCGATCAGCAGAAGACGGTCCTCAGTGGTGAACGATTTGATCATTCTTCGCTTCTGGAAAAATATCGTAATATCGTTGCAAACGCCTGAAGAATAATATATTGTGTTTTTTTTTTCAGGGTGAAAATTTATCATAAATATAGATAAAATGAAGTTCAACAGGGGGGTTCAAAGACTGTACAGTCAAGCTTTATTATTGGACCCCATCCCAGTCGGCCCGTCCGAAAATTACTATTTACGACTAGGGGGACTGGATCGGCCATTATAAATAACTGGTGTGTGGCTAGACGGGAAATAACCATTTTTCGAAAAGAATCTTGTAGTTTTACGCGATACAGTAGATAAAGAAATTTTATAAAGTGAAAAATTAGAATTCATGGATTTAAAATTTGGGGCAAAAATTATAAGTGGAGACGATTTCAGGGTCTCTGCTTTCATAATTCTGCAAAAATCTCTAACTCCAGAAAACGCCGTTCAGAATCGTCTCATCAAATTTTATGAATTCCCCGAAGCAACCGAAGGCCGTTTGCAGCCAGAGGGCTTTACTGGAATTAATCGACTTGAGGAGGGAATTCCCTGGAGCCTAGCGAATTCTTCATAATTCCTAATTCCCACCATAATTCCATGTAAAGGGCTGACTAACACAGACGAGGAATGTTTAGGAAAAAGTGTCATCCTATTATGCAGATTAATGGGCGCGGGGGGGGCAGATGAGGGGAAATTCTTAATGACCCCCGGGGAAGAACCTGAGGTTTGGAAGTGGGATGGGGTCGGAGAACACACTCAATGGTTCTCTCTCTCTCTCTCTCTCTCTCTCTCTCTCTCCTCTCTTTCTCTCTCTCTGTCTCTCTCTCACTATCTCTCGCTATCTTTCGCCCTCGCCCTCTCTTTCTTTCACTCACTCTCGCTCCCGGCCTTCTATCTCACGCTTCGCTGTCACACTCCGCTTTTTGAATAACATAAAAAGAGTAGCTTCGTGCATAACCTTAAGTTCCGGAGCCCTGACTACCATTAATGCGTAGAAACCCCCGAATAACGTGAAGTGGGCCTAACAACCTCAAAATTGGAAGCTTCAAAACCTTTAAAACTCCTTTAAAACCCACCAGCATTTTCTTGGGGCTCGGAATCTCGAAGGGGTCTGGCGAGTTGAGGTCGGAATGTTCGGCGGAAGCAGACGAGACTCCCGGCAGGCAATCCGGCTGTAATATGAAAAATAGAACTAATACTCTTGGGCTGGCTAGGTAGAGCGGGTGAAATGAAGGCGTCACCCCGAACAGGGAGGAGGAGACGATGAGATGCCACCGGGATTATGACGCATTTCCCGTAAATGGGGGTGGGACCCACCCCGGAATAAATGCTTGGTTTGTCTAATTTCCGCATGGGATATTGGTCAGATTGGATAAAATTTGGGAAGGTAAATTTGAAGTTCCGCGTCAAAATGCTTTTAAAGGGATTGAGAAGTGAAAAATCACGATGAAAGCGAGAAATAGCTAGAAAGGATAATGAGCGAATGATAGAGCGGGAGAGAGACAAAGAAAACGAGAGAAAGCATGAGAAAATAAGGTGAATGAGAGCGAGGTAGCGAGCCAACCTTAGAGAGATAGTGAGAGAGAGACAGCAAGTTCTTCTACTCAAAACGAGAAAACCGAAAAAGGAAAAGAAAGGCAGAGCGGGAGATAGGGAGAGAGAAAAGCATCAGAAAAAAAGAATAGTTACATATCGATAAAAAAAACAAGAGATAGAGAGGGAGCGAGAGAGAGAAAGCAATGGAGCGAGAGAGAGAGAGAGGGAGAGTGAGAGAGACAGAGAAAGGGCCAAATTAAGCTTTCTAACCGTATTAGTTAGGTCGGTTAAAAATTCAGAACGCATTCCCAAAAATCTCTGCTAGTCTGCCGCACAAATAAACGTACAAAAATGGCAATATTTGCAACGCATGATTGCATTTCCAGTTAATGTCGATCCCAAAAACTTCTGCTAGCTTGCCTTTTAAATAGCTATATTTAAGGCGGTTGAAGAAAAAGACGCGCGGCTATAGTGAGAATGACGGCTCCCCGGAAATAGGGAGGTCCTGGCTGAGATTCGGATTATGACACACCGCTTGCCGAGGCGCCGTGGGCACCAAATTACCAGGTACTGGGAACGGGGCCTCCCCCCACACCCATGTAAAGCTCCAGGGACCCCGAAAAGGGTGAAATTTGTAGCCGGTCGTTGGCCTGGGAAAGTAACGTTCCTGGCAATCTGGGCAGGTGGTGGCTATCAACTATAATAAAAAAGTAGTGGTGTCTGTCCGTCCGTCCGTCCGTCATGTCCCGGATTCAACTCGAAGGGGAAAGGAGCTAGAGCTTAGCTCTCTTCGGATTCGGATAGAGCATGGTCAGAAACCCCCAAACTGATGAAAAAATTATGAAAAAGTTTTAATTTAAATTATTAAAATTAACTTTGAAAGTGGCGCCTTAATAAAACGAGTGGGGGCCACGCCCCCTTTCCTTTCGCCCCTCTTCCCCAGGCCCCTTCGCGCGCCCAGGGGCTTTCTTGAGTTACTTTAATACTTTTAATACTTTTTAATTATGTTAATTTATTATTTAAATCATTTAAAGTATCTAATTAGTTTTTGAAGGGGATTTCAGCCATGGGGGGTATCTGAAGCCATCAGGAAGGTATTTAGGTAGTTTTTGAAGGGGATTTCAGCCATGGGGGTATCTGAAGCCATCAGGAAGGTATTTAGGTAGTTTTTGAAGGGGATTTCAGCCATGGGGGGTATCTGAAGCCATCAGGAAGGTATTTAGGTAGTTTTTGAAGGGGATTTCAGCCATGGGGGGTATCTGAAGCCATCAGGAAGGTATTTAGGTAGTTTTTGAAGGGGATTTCAGCCATGGGGGTATTGATGGAGGTAGGAAAGGATGTGGTGGAGTGGGACATGTGGGGTAGCCCGAAGGCCAGATGGTTGCAGTCGCGAAGCGACTGTAACCATCTGGTATAAAATATGGCAGGTGCTGTGATGAATTTTGGAGAAGCGGAATCTAATTTGGGATGTAAAACTAATTGATTGGTGGTATCGTATTTAATGGCTTGGGATACAAATTTGGAAACGAGGATTTTTGGAACATAGTTAAGGCATTATTTTAAATACAAAAATTTCTATTCTCAACATTGCGAATGATATAATCTTTGATCACTTACCAGAGCATCGTCTGGGAAAACAGGTCTGGAGTTAAAATCCTTGAATTGGTGAAATGAATAAAATTCTTGAATGGAAAACAATGTTTTTTCAGCCGTCCCTAGGTATTATATATTCGCGAGGGAGCGAGCATATAGCGAGTGGGAGACAGAGAGAGAGAGAGAGAGAGAGAGAGAGAGAGAGAGAGAAAGAGAGACGGTGAAAGAGTGAGAGTCAGACAGACCGGGTCTAGAGTTAAAAACGCTATTTCTGTGGCATCGTGTGCATGGGGAGTGAGAGAGAGAGAGAGAGAGAGAGAGAGAGAGAGAGAGAGAGAGAGAGAGAGAGCAAAAGAGGAGGAGACAGCGAGGGAAATGGAGCATATGTACTTATATAAAAACCCTACGATCCCTGGACTGTCACTCCCCCCTTAAAGCATCTCCTAAAATCTGTACGATGCGCAACTAATGCCAATCGACTACTGCCGTCCCATCAGGAGGGCAATTTGCGAGGGAGGCAATAGGGGTTCCAGGATGAGCCCTCCAGGGGGCCCTAGTGGGCGTTGAGGGGCCTCTTTGGCGTCTCTTTAACGTCCCTTTAGGGCTAGAGGGGTTGGGTCTTAAAGGGATTCATTCCCTCTTCTTCTTCTCACCTCTTCCTCCACGCCCTCCATCAGCTCATTCTCCCCGTCTTCGGCATCGTCTAATGGCGCATCGTGGAATGAGGGGTGTAAATTCTCCTTGTCGGCTAGCCGCCGTTGGTTTTCCAGACGTTCGCGGATTTCGGTCTCGCGTTTGACGATGACGAAGATGTGCCCCTGGCGGTTGAGGGAGAAGCGGAAGATGGCGGCTACCTACAAAGAGAAAAATGAGCTTGACGTCATGGGAATTTTTTGGAAATCTAGAGAGCTAGAATACGTCGGGGAGTGGTATTAGAGGGATTTGGAAGCGCCAAGATCGATGCCCGCGTGGACTAGGCCGTGACCGTTATCTGTTGCTACAAAACACGGTCTAGCTTAGTTTTCAAGCTGAGTTTAGATGCTCTACACCTGTATCTTGAAGTGAGCCACAGCTGTCGAATGCCAGTCATCATTAGGGATAATTTTTGACCCTGCTAGTCCCTTTCAAATTGTTTTTTTTGCTAGTTGCAAGATTATAAATGTTGTTTTCTGACTTTTAATGGGCACCGGAACTCAATTTTTTTAAATGACCTGAGTTTAAACAAAAAAAAAAATTGAATAACAAACCTGTTCCGGTGTCCGCCCTTGCAACGGAATCTTCTCACATTGCAGCAGACGATCACCGATTTCAAGACCTCCAGGCTGGAGTATTTTGATTTATGGTTTTCATTTAAACCCTTACATGCTTATACTCGTCCTGAATCGAGTAGACAAAGACACCCGAATGGCGGCTGCCGACGAGCCGGAAACCTAACTGACCCGTGATCGCCGGGTTGGCCCGGACGACGATCTTCCGCAGATCGTCTGTCATCTGGAAAATACGGAATTTGGAAATTTCTCAGCATAACAAAACGGCGAAAATCGAAAATAAAAAATTACATTTGAAATTTCAATTTAAGACGCAGCTCTCGTATCTTTGTACGCGCGTTTCAAAAATCTGATTTTCTATTAAGGAAGGGAAGAATCGGCTGTCTAGGGTACGGTAAGAATACGGTAGTTTTTTTCTACATTCAAGACTACCGTAGTTTTGCAAAAAATGTCTTCGTATCACTACGTAGCAGCCTATTTACCACCCCCAAATTTGGCCAATTGCTAGCGTCCCAAAGTTCTACGGGGGACCCCCTTAAAAAACTGGCCACGCGCGCGCGCCCGGCTGCTGTTGGCCACATCTCGTCTGGGGCCCTTAGCCCAATTGAGAGGCCCGGAATAATTTATAGGCCCTGTGAGCAGAACGAGGCACGTTTTTCGGCGAGGGGAAAACGAGATGGGCAGTCTTGTTGAGTTTAATTAGACGGAAAACATTTTTTATTTGACTAGAAAGCAAAAAGTTGTGAAAATACGCCATTTAAAGCTTGGGCCGAACAGATTAAGCTACACGAAGCTAGGAGCAAGGAGAAAAAATGGGGATCCAAGCAAAAGGGAAGTTCGGGCAGTCGGCAGAAGCCAGGAAAATCAGCTTGAAGGGCTGAGCAAGACGAAAAAACAAGCTAAAGCTGATAAAAGAACAGGAAGCTCAACATAAGGAGCATGAAGCTAGGCTGGGAGGAAGAGGCTCAAAGCAAGAACATAAAGTTTACGGAATTCCAAAGTACCAACTATGTAGCCAGCCGCCGCGTCTCCGGTTACACCAATTTGGAATTCACGTGATGTTTCGGGGGCTCGAACGAGACAAATTTAGGCAAGAAACGGGAAGGGCAAGAGCAGTTGCTGACATCAAGGCTTGAAGAGAGTTCCCTTAAGTGTCTTAAAATACAACGAAAAAACATATTTTAACTCTCCATAAAATCTGATAAAGCCAGCTTTCAAGTTAGGTTAGTTACCTTAATTTTCGGTATCCTGATACGTATCAAAGATACCAATGGTTTATACAACGTTTAGAGCGTTTATTACGACACAAAAATGACTACCGCGAATTCTCGCTGCTTGGGTGCTACAGTACCCCCTAGAGCACGTTGTTTGCGGTATAGCACTCCCTTTATGTACCTCCCAACAATACCCTTCTGCTATTCTGACGCCAATTACCGCCTAATTCCGAATTCTGATGTCCGAATTGGCCTCGCCGATTGTGGGAGAGGCCCGAAATGCATTAGCCTGAGCTGTTGTGTCGACTGAATTCGGCTGAAATTCAGGGTTGGGAATTATAAATTCAAGCCCAGTAGATTGTATCGTTCCGACAATGGCCTACCAACGCAATGGCAAGAGGACATAAATTTTTGAGCGGTGTGGCGGGCAATTAGGGTTGATTGGACCTAATCGTAACCAGAAATCATGGCAAAAACTGGAAAACAGCACCGAAAATTTTTTTTGAGATTTTCTAAAGCAAATTATGCTCCAATTAGGTTACGGTAGCTTCCAAGAAAACTCTGGACGTCATTTTAAAAACCTAAACTGTGGTCCCAGCGCCCCGTTCTCCGGCTTTTAAAGCAACTTTCGAGGAGCGCCTTCGAGTGGTTCCTTGCAGAATACCTAGAAGATGGACACCTCGTGGTTCGCCCCCGAGTTTTCGCCTAATTTATGCGGAAAAGTGATGGGCATAAGCAGTTCCTTGGCGTCACCTGGTGGGAACAAGGGTTCAAATTTTGAGTGGCATTTAAAGGGATGATGTCGCGAGGCAAGATGAGAGAGAGCGAGAGCGAGAGCGGGATCATGAGGTCTGTAACGTAGAAGACTCATTACCAAATAACGAAAAAGCTCTAAGCTATTACGGTATTTTTGAAACTCCAAAAAACCAGCTACAAGGCTGCTTCACAAAAGAAATTTTGAAAATTTAGCAGGGCATGCCTCGGAGCCACCAGTTGCACCAGGAACCGACCGACCACCTCTCGCTCCCCTAGAAGATGAAGTGTCCCAGCCACCCCAGTCGAAAATCCATCTTCTTAAAGCCACAGGGTGCAGAAGAAACCCCCCACATGCGGGAGGAAAAGCCAAAGAAAAATGGAAGAAATTCCGCCGGCCGGCCCCGCAAAGCCGTTCGAATTACGCAGCCATCGACCTCCCCGGGGAACGGATGAAGCTGCCCGCGGCTGCGCTGTCCGGCCAAAAGTTTTGATGGCGGAAAAATTCGGAAGTGGCCAAAGAACGAAATGGTCCCTGGGGATGGCTAGTGGTACGAGAAGGTGCAAGACTCGAGATTTTTACGTAAAAATCTGCTGAGATACAGTAAACTTACAAATCGTAGATGAGATCCGTGAAATCCGATTTTGAGTAAGGCGGAGACTTAACTCAGCAAAACTAACTTGTTAAACCAAGCTTAAGTGTGGCTTAACGTATATAGTTTCGACTTAAGCTGACCTTAGCTTTGGTTATAAGCAGCTTGGCTAGCTTCGGCAAGCTTGGACTTAGCTTAAG